CGATCTACCTTCGAGTTAGAAAATCACGTAAGAAAATCATTATTGAACTACGTATCCTTTAGCAATAAACAAAATTTGTTCACCTTGAATCATTAAAATTTCGATGATTCATTTGAACCATTGAAATAACTGAAATTCTTAGCAAATCTAATCTATTTTCAACCACTAAAATAAATTCAATTTTAATAATTCAATCAAGAAAATCATTATTGAACTACGTATCCATTCGCTGGTAGCGAACGTGTTAACCCTTTGCAGTAGGCAATTGCGTGTCACGCAAGCGACAAAATATTGTTCAGTAATGTGCCCGTAAAAAATGAGAATGAGCTGTGGAGAAAAGAATTCAGTGACTCGGATATTGGACGGTGAATAAATTTGCATCAGTGTCGCGAGTAATTACGAAACCGTTAAACAGGAAGATTTCATTACTGAATATTTTATGTTAATGCCCGTAACGCGTGAATCGACCGGTGAAAGACTGTGATTAGGGAAAGAATGGACATTTGAAATGGTCATTACGCGGAAGATTCTTCGAAATATACAAAACCTTCAACATATGAAGCTGAATTATATATCAATTGCTTGACTAACCCTTTGCACTGCAAAAATTTGTCACTAGAAATATTCAATTTATTTTTATAAAGTATGGATGACATTTCTTAACACTAGAACTACCGTACCAGTGAAAATGACTGGTTTCGATTGTTTTGTTTCGCAATTACTGGTATCTATAATGAATGTTTGAAGAAACCGAAAATAGTTTATTGTTACAATTTTTATAGGGATTACATATCAATCGTTTTAAATCCGCGGTGGTTCTAGTGTTGAACTAACTTAACGAGGAATCTATTCACGAAATAAGGGGAACAATGGTATTTTATTTCCACATTTCACGCATCGACAGATTACTCGAGACTTAATGTTAAATACGAAATTTTACAATTCCGATGCACCAATCGAGTGGTGATTGAGAGGCACCTTTGGAGTGCAAAGGGTTAACAGGGAAAGAGAAACTCATTTGAGAGAAAAAATCATTTGCCCACTGTTAATGTATAATACATTCTATTCACATTCAGATTCCCTTTTTTTTTATAACTATAATTTTTATATCCAGAGTCGAAATATGAGTATACAGTTAGGCGAGTCGAAGATTCACCGATGTTCTTCCTGATTTTTATATTCGCGATTTCCCCATGAACTTTCAGCGGATCTCGTTGACTCGTTCGGCTCTGTCAGCTGTGCACAAAAACTGGGTCCAATTGAAATTCCTGTCGCGAGGTAAACGCGCATACAATTACGTGTCCACGGAGGAAACGGGGGAATCTCGACGCACGTTTCACGTGAATAAAACTTTTCGAGAAACGCTCGCGACTAGCGCGATAAATTCTCTGCGTCCGTCAAAACCGAGGATTATTTGAATTATTAACGCTAAAGCTACCGAGAAATTAAATTGTATTTTTGAATTTCCTCTATAGAAACTTCTAAATAATAAACCAAGAGCGACCAACCCGAAAATTCGGTCATCAAAATGTCGATACTCCAACGTTTCGCCCATGAAACAAGCAAACACGATAATCGAATGCTCAAAATAATATTTTACAGCCCGTCAATACCCTCGCATACTGCGGAGAAACTAAAATCCCACAGTTCAGCAGCAACTTTCAATCACTCTACCCGAACAAAAACCATTTACATAATCCGCATAAATTAAATTAATCTCCGACTCCTACCGATCTTTAAAAACAGCCATGTCCGAGCCTCTTTCGTCATTTTTCGAATACTGCATGCACGAAACGAATAATCGAAGCTCATGAATAATTAAATAATCGAGAGATTCGATCGACGGATGAGTCGCTAAAAACGGAGAAAAATAGAGAATATATTCCGTTCGGTACGGCCTCGGCTCGCGCGCAGCCGTTCCGACCTCGTAACGCGTATCGCGCCTCTTTCAGTCGATAGTGCCTCTCCAAACGTTGCATAGTTATCTCGGTAAACCGGCGACCTTATCAGTCGCCAGGTATTATGTCGACGAGAGAGCGAGCGACCGGCGCGCGACGCAAAACACACCTGCATTCCACCAGTCCGCTTTTTGAATCGGCAGGCCACCGCACACGGAGTCGTTCTTCTCCTCGTGTGTCCTGGCCTGTCCTCTCTCGAGTCTTTTTCTCTCAGCGGGGTGTCCTTTCTCTTTCTTTCTCCCGTTTCCTTTGTTTCCCTTTTCTACTTTTTTTGCCTTTTCCACGGGCGTAGTGGAATTTTTCACGGGTAACCGATGCTCGAGCTTTCAAGCTTTCTGGGAACGTTGCGATTGGAATTGGTAGCATTGCCGAGTGAAATTTATTTAAATTGTATTATTAGTATTATTATAGTTAGTTTAATATATTTTCCTTCGTTTCCCTTTTCTTTCGAGTGTTCTCGGTTGACACTGGGAACGTTGCGATTGGAATTGGTAGCATTGCTGAGTGAAATTTATTTAAATTGTATTACTAGTATTATTATAGTTATTTTAATATATTTTCCTTCGTTTCCCTTTTCTTTCGAGTGTTCTCGGTTGACACTGGGAACGTTGCGATTGGAATTGGTAGCATTGCTGAGTGAATTTATTTAAATTGTATTATTAGTATTATTATATTGTTACTATTGTTGTCATAGTCATTTCAGTAATTTTATTGTGATTTTAATTACTATAGTTACTAAAATTCCTTTTGTAGCTGATTCAATAGTTCGATCTTCCTTTGTCCCATCACTCGAACTTGACATAAAAAAATCGACTTCAAGAATTCTTTATTACTCAGAACGATCGTAGGAAAGATTTTCCAATCGGTACCATCGTAAAGTAAAAATCCCACGTTCAACAGGAACAATACAAAACCAAGCCATTCCTATTCCCAGATTACATAAAACGTCCAAACGACTTAATTACCGATCGGTAGATCCTTTCCGATAAGGAAATTACTACTCGTAATCAATGAAACCTTAATGCATATGAATTAGAGAGACACTCGACCGAGCAGAAAGAATTCAACGAGACTGCAGCAGTAGCCAGCAACAGTCGAATAAAAACACGATACGATGGCGCAGAGGGAACAACCTTTTATTCCCCAATATTTCTATTCGAACGGCCGGTGGCGAACGATCCGCGCGTCACTGCGCGTTCGTTTCACGAAACATAAGAGCGGAAAGGGTTAAGGGGCAACGCTCGAATCCCGGCGACTGGAAAGGCTGTCGAGAACAGGTTTATATCTGCTTCGCGCGCTAGAAGGCGAGCGAAGATAAACGGATCGAAGCGAAAGTGAGCCGAGGACTTCAGTTTCTGGCGAACTGCTCGCAGGATCCGCACGTGGCTTCGACAAAAGAGCCTCGCGCTAACTTCGCTCCCTGGGCCGGCGGTGAGGGGAAGGGAAAAATACGCACGCATACGTGCACACAGGCGGGAACTTCATAAATCGTAAGGACCGCTGCGCGAACGATCGTGGGCGGTTCGGCGTTCGCGTTTGAATGGGATCGGGAACACGATTGTCCGGGGCCAGTTCCGTGGTTATGCGCGTGGTCGTTCCGCTGCACCTGTGATCGCGTTCGGAACCAGCCGTGGAATTTCAATGGAAGATATATTGTGTCGTTGAGTGGTATTTGTCTGCGCGCGCTCGCCGAGCGCATAATGCAGATTTCGTGTATACTTGTTGTTTAGAGATTGATTTCTTGGGATTTTTGGTTGTCTCCGATGGAACGTTCGCTTGTACCGATATTTTCAAATGGGATTCATGTATATTGAGATGTTGAATATTATGTAGAATGTTTGTGTATCGGTTTTGTTTGTAATTGGTGCTTA